AATTTCTTTCCATTTGATCGCAACCCCTGAGGTGATTACGACAGATTAACGACACATCAATAGCGTCAGTTGCAGCAGAATTTACAGAATGTTAAACATTCCGACATGTGCACGTAACGTTTAGGTAATTTTCATCGCTTTATGCTTAGGATATTATTTTTGTTGAAATGAAACGAATGAGTAACAATTTAAAAAAACAAGTTATATGGTTGTTAGAGCGTTGTGTTCTTTTGTGTTGTCATGCTCATGTTTGGATCGATAGGCCTATTGGCGCATGTGCACCTTTGCGCGCAACATTAGTATATTTTGACCACTTCTGAGGATAGTGGGGGTCACGAGTCACTGGCACGGTTATTTTGGGGGTCGTGAGCTGAAAAGTTTGGGAACCCCTGCTTTAGATGATGTACATCGGCTTTTCGGTGCTATACAGACATTTTTTTTTTCGCCCACAATTCGATAAGCAGATTAGTAGTAGCCTATGCCTAAAAATGTGAATGAGATGCGTATCGCCAAAAAGTCAGTAATCTGTATAAATTTGGCGTATTCTCATACTTAATGAAATGGGTTAGCGGAGCGCGCCGCATGCACCACAAGCGATACACACTGAAGTCGCAATGAAGGAAGCGACAGATCAGCAGCCACAGCCTCTTGTAAGGGAGGAGATACTGTGGTTAAACAAGCTAGAAAGTGGTGTGACTGTACTTTCTGCAGATTAAAGTCCGACGCTTTTCTTTTTTGTAAGTATGGTTATTTCAGTTTACTAGTTAGTTTCTAAATAAAATTGTCCATTTTCATTTCAGTTTTAGTTTATGGTAACAACAACTCTGGTACCAGCAAGTCCAACAAGCTCCTGTGTACGTTTTCTATTCAGGTGCTCATGCTCAGCGTTGGTACCCCCTGACGTATGCCGACTACACACTGCGCAGTGTAAAACCACCTTTTTGTTTTGTGGTTATTTGAACTACTCGCATAATTACAGTGATATTATTTAAAGGAAAACATTTGTTATGATGAATTGAAGCATTTTAGAAATCATGGTAATTTTATTAGAATAATTTAAAAATGATGCTTAAATTTAAAATATTGATGTCGGCCCATTTTGAGCGTTGACATCATCGACCACATCGAATAATTGCGGCAGCCCTAGTGATATAATATCGATATTATATCGCGCGTGCGCAATAATCACCAGGGCATTTGGCTGGACGCCAGCTTTTCACACGGATGTTTATTTGTGCCCATAATTTGTTCAGCCGATTTGGTAGTACGGCTAACATATTGAGGCATTTTATGACGCCCAAAAGTTATCACTATAAATTTGACGAATCCTTATGCTTAATAAACATGTCAGACGTTAAACTGCAAAAAGTGCCACCAGACCGGCGACGTCTTTTTACTTTGTTTATCCACAAGATCTCCTCTTTTAAAAGATGTCGTGGCTGCTGAGTTGTTTCTTTCTTCGCCGCCGCTTCAGTGCTTATCGCATATCACACTGCAGTATACCAAACCATAGTATACCAAACCATAGTATACCAAACCATAGTATGTCACAACAGCATTATGTAGTGTGCTCCACCATCCGAATTGAATAATGATTCACCAAGTTTATACAGACTAACTAACATTTCGGTGTCGCAAATAAACTTCCTTATAGCCAAATGCTTCGGCTGTCCTCTGAAGCCCTGGTGATTATTGTACACGCGCGACATAATATCGATATCGCCCAGCCCTAGGTGGGTGGGAATGGTTAGCGATTTTTGGTGTGTTGGTTAGCGTTTGGGGGTGTGGCTTGGCCCAGATTATTCCTGATAGGCCAGTAGGAATATGATTCCCCTCATGGTGAGAGTGAACCAATGAGAGAACAGCCTCCAATGGGGTTTTTCTATCTTAGCATTAGCTGGAGGCTGCAGGACTGAGGGGATGAGAGAGGGGGGGGGGTCTCTCCTTCTTCCTCCTCCTCTTCAGCATCCTCCACTTTTATGTCATCCATGAACACGCAGTGAGGTTGCGGCTTTAATCATCTCCCGCGGAACACTCCGGGGCCTTCCGTACGCCTGCTCTTTGCTCTCGTCGGCATGCTCCAGGGAAACCCCCTCAAGTTTCTCTCTGAGTAGGGCGTCCCATAAGTTTTGTGACATGTTTACTAATAAGTATGATGTTGGCCGTTTTGTTGGTCATCTCACACGTCCTGAAAATCTTTGGTCGTCTCCCCTCTTTCAAACACAGTCTGCGGCCCTTTGAGTGACACGTGAAGGGAGACTCTGGAGTCGTATCGACGATCGCATTTAAGACCAGCAATTACCAGTTCATTTAAAAAAAGCGTGAACTTACTCCCCGAACAAACACCACTGGAAGTGTCATGAGATGTGGGTGAAGTCATGAGAAGTGATAGGGGTAGACTTGGGGGTATCTAGGTGTCAAGCCATCTAGACCTACCATATATGTTTTGGTTTTTTTTGGCGGTATTTCCACAAGCAACTCTGTTCTGGCTATTTTGAAATCTTGGCAATGAAATTCTGGGGTAGGTGGGGGGTAGGGTCCACCATGATAAATTTCGCCAATCAAAAATACCACGTTACACCCAAAACGCCACAGCGCTATAATACCACTGAAGCTTAGATAGCGGTACGTGTCTGTAACCATAGAAACAGAACAGTAGCTAGTCAGTTTTTCCCTGAGATTTAATTCTATTAGGGTGAAGCAGGGGTAACAAGGTCATGTTTGTGTTTGGATTTATTTACGTTATAAGTGTATTGGGTGAGCTTAGACCTGTCCTGCCTCATGGGGACGCGCTTATTAAAGCTTTTTTCCATGAATAAATTTACCAATACAGTGGCTTAAATTAAAGCAAAAAGAGTAACAATATCCCCCCTTCCAGGCTAATTGTGTTAGATATACCATGAAGCCAAGCATCTAGCGTCTGTTCAGCTGTCCATTACAGGTCGATCTTAGTAGCAAGTTCAGATTAAGGATGGATTTAATATGGCACCTTCCAGAAAAGGAAGCCCCACAAAATGGTAATGTTGGCTTCTACTCATTGCTAGTTCATAATGCACCACTGAACTGATGGTCAGCAGGTTCTCACCGAGTGTCCAAGCCTGATCCTGGCAAAAGAAACGATGTAAAAATGGTTCTTCTTTCAGTTCTGGTGCTTCTCATACCAGCAGGGCAGTTTTGAATTGTGTGCTAAAGAAGTAGGTTGGTTCAAACTATTTCCGTCCATCTTCCACCAGCTTGTCCTGGTGGTGGGAGGGCCTGGAGCCTGTCCCGGGCAGCAGAGGGTACGAGGCAGGGGACACCCCGGACGGCAGTGCGCTCCGTCGCAGCGCCAACGCGCTTGCTGGCTCACTTGCTTGTGTGGTCGTGCGCTGTTAGCTTCTGCTGCTAAACCGTGCCTTTGAGAACGCCGCCTTTGTGTCGGCTCATAGTCAGAAGTGTAATATTCGATTTAAGATCATGATTGCGCTTAACTGTCCTGTTTAAAGCCTAATTCCCCCCACCGGCTTGAAGGCTACCTCTGACATTAAGTCGTTGGATGTTTTGTCTGCCACCCCAGGAGCTAATTGGTCTATGGCCAGGCATGGGGATTGTCTCAGAGGATGGGGCGGGGCGTCCAGATGATTTGACGAGCGCCGACAGCCCGGCATGGCCCACGGGTGGGGGGTCCGGACGGCACTGATTTGTGGAGGAGTTGAGGGCAGTGCCGACTCGGGGGGGGGGCCCTCCAGCTAATTAGCCCCAACGGTGTCTCCCGCCCCTGTCTGCATTCCTGTGCCAAATGTCAGCCACCCACGAGGCTGGGGTCTCGGCCTTGGCGGGGGTGGGGGTGGGGTGCTTTCCCCTCCAGCCCAGAGCCAAGAGGCAGCTGGGAGATAAAGCTCATTAATGTCTAGTAAGGCAAACACGCTGGGGTTTCCCGCTGGAATGAATCATATCGGCGACGGACAAAACGGGTCAGGCGCCTGATCTTTTCTAAACGCTCGACATCTGCCTGCGGTGTGTCGGACACATTAGCATTTGGCCTGTGCGCGAGGCGGCGAGGGGCGGCGAGAGACGGCGAGAGGCGGCGAGGGGCGGCGAGGGGCGGCGGGAGGCGGCGAGGGGCGGCGAGAGACGGCGAGAGAGGCGGCGAGGGGCGGCGGGAGGCGGCGAGGGGAGGCGGCGAGGGGCGGCGAGAGAGGCGGCGAGGGGCGGCGGGAGGCGGCGAGGGGCGGCGGCGAGGGGCGGCGAGAGA